AAATCCAGTTTTTCTCTTTTCCCAACTTCAGGGCGAGTTTATGCGTGGAGGCAACGCAAAGAAGCTTACAACCCTGACTGCCTTCTTCCAACAGTGAAGCATGGAGGTGGATCAGCGATAGATTGGGTCGCAATATCATGGAAATGTCTCAGTCCAATAGTTGCCCTGCATGGTAGAATCAACAGCAAAGATTATCTGAACATTTTGGGAGATCATGTTCATCCAATGGCCAAGACTTTATTCCCTGATGGTGACTGCATCTTCCAAAACGATAATGCTCCAATTCATACCACTCGAATGGTTAAGAACTGGTATGAAGAGCATGAAAGTGAGCTAGAACACATAGAGTGGCATCCCCAATCTCAAGATATCAATATTATTGAACATTTGTGGTGCATTTTGGAGCAACAAGTTAGGAGCCGCTATTCTCCACCATCGTGTCGTAAAGAGCTGGAGAAGGTTTTAATGGAAGAATTACTGAAAATTCCTCTGGATGAAGTCAGGAAGCTGTATGATTCCATTCCTAGACGTATTAAAGCTGTCTGTGAGGCTAAAGGAGGACCAACTCCATATTAAATAAATTTTCTTTGAATTTAACAAGTGCTCCAATTATTTCCTCCAACCCCTATATGTTTGAATAGAAGTAGTGGTTGCATTTAGCTATTTCAACAGTAAACGGGTGGGACCTAAACGCCAATCTAGTAGCATATCACATAGTCCAATCCAATTACATCATCAATAAATTGAAAAATAAACCGTCTGAAATATTTTGATTATTTACCCTTATTGCGTATATGGAAAAAATCGAATTATCAATTTGGAGTGACCTTTTTCTAGAGCTAAAACAAATTAATGTATTTTTTCTTACTTCTAAACAAAAATTCATCGATTTATGACACAGGAGTATAAGGCTACAAAAAGTCATAACTCTTGAGTACGTATCAAAATTAAATATCCTTTAAATTGGTTATGCGATTTTATCATTGTTATAGTAAAGATCTCTAAAATGGGTGAGACATACCTTTTTTTTAAGATCGTGTCCATCAACAAAATTAAATATTACGGAAGGGGAATTGTGAACAGAAAAAAAAAAAATTGAATAATTATTGCAATTAAAATATTCAACAACAGATTGCATCATTCTGGACATCCCTTAAGGGTGAATTTTGGCGAATTTCCAAATATTACAAAACAGTAATAGAAATAGGTCATCAATGTCATCTTTGGGCGAAGTAAGTTTTTCTGCAATAAACAATATTAAAAACAAAAATCGATCACGACTCGAATCCTTGGAAGAAGATCTTAAAGAGTCTGCCTGTCCAAAATTCGACCTTGAAAAGAAGATATTCTAAAAAAAAATTTCAGGTTCAGTTATTTCATTAAATGTTAAATTATAATAAACAGAAAAATCAATAAATATAAGTATATTTAAAGAATTTTAATTATTATCTTTTTATTACAAATTATAATAAATGGCATTGTGTTAATAAATCATGAAAAGTTTATTAGCCTAAATGATAATCCGGCCCTAGATTGCAGCCTATATTAGCCTAAATGATAATCCGGCTCTAGGTTGTAGCCTATATTAGCCTAAATGATAATCCGGCCCTAGATTGCAGCCTATATTAGCCTAAATGATAATCCGGCCCTAGATTGCAGCCTATATTAGCCTAAATGATAATCCGGCCCTAGATTGCAGCCTTTATTAGCCTAAATGATAATCCGGCCCTAGATTGCAGCCTATATTAGCCTAAATGATAATCCGGCCCTAGATTGCAGCCTATATTAGCCTAAAGGATAATAGCTAATATAGGCTGCAACTTAGGGCCGGACTATCATTTAGGCTAATAATCTCTACCGGGCCTCCAACATTTCTACTTTGCAAAGAAGATTTTCTAAGTTTCCGTCAAGCTCAGATATCTCATTAATCGTTAAATTATGATAAACATAATAATAAGTATTTTTAAGAAGTACATATATATATATACATAGTAATTCATCGAGTCTAGAAGAACCCTCAGGAAACTATAGAAAGCACTAGACGGCAGCTTCGTCCTATTTAGGACTCATCACCAGTGTCCATACACTACTGTGAATTGGAGTGGAGTCGTTGCGATACAAGGCAAGCGTCATACCATTGGAACAACGGGCCTCGGTGACGAAGAAGTAACTGACTCGACTATATATTTAAACCTCAGTTCTCCATAATTTTCTCTCATACATTCATATCTGCTCGATGCGTATCCAAATGTAAACAAATGACGTCACACATCATGAAATGGACAAAGTCCTACAATTATTTTAAGACATGGAGAATTGTAGTTTAAAAACAGTAAAATCGACCTTGCTAACCGAAACACTCCTCTGTGGCTCAATCGGTAAAAGCACGTCAGGCGATATGACGGTTCCGTATAGGATACAGGTTCGATTCCAGTTGGAGGACGCATATTTTTGTATGAAAATTTCTCGGACATTCAGGCCGGTAAATGTTGTTAATACTGTTTATTATAAAACAGAGCATTTACTTAAATATTTGTATCTATAAAAAGAACGTAAAAACATAAAAAAATGTCTTAAAATAAACATTAATAATAATTTTCTGTGTTTAAAATGCTGCACAAGACATTCTACTGTTTAGAAAAATAAAAAAAAACGTATATCCACAGAAAATAGATATAATTCAAATTATATACGCTTCAGGTGATAAACGTTGAAATTTCGAGCCGGACCCTTTATTTAGTGCACGGATGTAGATTGATCTAATTCCACGTGCCATGCCTTATTTGGATATCTCAGTTTCAGTTAATTTTCTTTAGTAACTCAACTCTCCAAGTTTTTGATCACCTCTGCTGTGGCCAGGTATTGAACTCAAAACTCATTGCATCAAGTCACTTTTTGGTTTGCTTCAGCCTACGCTTTTATCCACTGTCCTATGAGAAGTAAGGCCGGAGAGTGCAACGGCCGAATAGTGGTGAATATGGCATTAAAGATGAGGACAATAGCCTGAACGATGTAAATACTTAAAATACCACATCTCAGAAATATAGACAAATCCTGAAGAAGGCCGAAGCGTCCAACAGCCGAAACGTCGTGAATATGGCAATAAAGATGAAGACAACAGTCCGAATGATCTAAATGGTGTAAATAGTTACAATACTTCAACACTGATATAGAGACAATTGTTGAAGAAGGCCGGAGCATATAACAGTAGAAACATTTTGAATATTGCAATAACGATGAGAACAACAGTCCTAACGATGTAAATAGTGTTAAATAGTTAAAATATCTCATCTCAGAAATACAGTCAGACTCTGAAGAAGGCCGGAACGTACAACAGCCGAAATATCATGAATATTCCAATAAATATGAAGACAGCAGTCCGAACCATATAAATAGTGTAAATGGTATAATGGAAAATACCTCATCACTTATATATAGACCGTTGTTGAAGAAGGCCTCGGCTTACAACAGTCAAAACGTGGTGACTATGACAATAAAGATGAAAGTAACATTCCAAACGATGTAAATAATGTAAATAATTACAATACTCTATTTCAGAAATATAGAAAGTTTCTGATGAAGGCCAGAGCGTACAACAACCGAAACGTTGTGAATATTGCATTAACAATGAGGACAGCATTCCGAACTATATAAATAGTGTAAATCGTTACAATACCTCATCTCAGATAGATAGGCAGATGTTGAAGAAGTCCGGAGCGTACAACGGCCGAAACCTCGTGAATATGGTAATAAAAATGAGGACAACAGTTCGAACCGTATAGATAGTGTTGAATAGTTACAATATCTCATCTCAGAAATATAGAAAGATGTTTTATGAAGACAATAGATGACAGCTCTTCATTGAAATTTTGGGTGCACAAAAGAAATCGTCGGCAAACATGGACTTACATCCTTGCAATAAGAAGTGACGTAAAAACAATTCCCTTGACACCGCTATTATTTTAACTACCTTCACTCCGCTGCAATGTCTATTGTTTTAAAAAGCAATGATTAGAATTTCACTAAAACTTAAACATATGAAATGAAATTCTTATATTTTTGTTCTTGAAAACTGACATGAATAATAATAAACACTGTTTACTTATTCGATTGTTCATATGAAAGGTTAGCAAGATTCATTTTATTAATCAGACTAGCATGAGACAGATGGAAGGTAAAAAGGCTTCTCTCGGGCGATTAAAAAAACAGTTTCGTTTTGAAGACGTTAAAATAAATAAGTCATTCCTTGCCCCAGTTAACAACAGAAAGTAGATCTAGATCAGCTTATGATCTATCTATCAATCTATCTATCTATGTATATCTTTTTTTTCTATCTTACATTTCATAACTACCAATCTGTATATCTAAGTGGCACTTCGTCCCACGACCATCACTCCCTTTATCGCTCTTTACTTATCTATCTATCTATCTATCTATCTATCTATCTATCTATCTATCTATCTATCTATCTATCTATCCCAATGTGATTATATCTATCTCAGTCTGTTCAAATTCTGTCCATATCTATCTATCTATCTCCGTTTATTCATATCTATCTATCTATCTATCTATCTATCTATCTATCTATCCTGTTTGTTCATATCTATCTATCTATCTATCTATCTGCTAACTCACTAATACAATTTGGAAGGTAACAGAACTGCTAAAATGAAAGCCATTTATCATACTCAACGATATTAGGTTCGATCCAAATGGCTAAATCTGTATTACTATCTTTCAGCGTTGGTAAAGTACAATGCACTTGGTCATGGGAGAATTTCTAGTTGCAAATGTCTCGGTAGGAAATGCGAATTTTATGAGCGAAGTAAGAAAAAAAGAGAGAGAGAGAGAGAGAGATGAGAGAGAGAGTGGTGTTAGCGGTGTAAAATAGAGACGGTGTAGATAAAAGAGGGAGGGAGAAGAGCGAAGGATTAAGAGCGAGAAATTATGTCAAAAGGGGGCTTCATTGTAGACATAACAAAAGATTGAAACAATGAAGGTTAAGAAAAATGCTGAAAAGAAAAGTGTGTTTGTAAGAGAGAGAGAGAGAGAGAGAGAGAGAAAGGAGAGACTGAAAGGTGGAGACAGAGAAAGAAAGCGAAAACGAAATTTGATGAAGAAAGAAAAGAAAAGAAAGAAAGAAAGAAAGAAAGAAAGAAAGAAAGAAAGAAAGAAAGAAAGAAAGAAAGAAAGAAAGGAAGAAATAGACTAAGATGTAGGTGGATAAAATACTTAAGGAATAAAAACAGACTAAGAAAATAGAGAGAGAAATAGAGAGGAAATAGAAAGAAAGAAAGAAAGAAAGAAAGAAAGAAAGAAAGAAAATAGAGAACGGAAAGCTGAAGTAAAGAAAGAAAGAAAAAAGAAAGAAAGGAAAAATGAAAGAAAGAAAATAGGGAAGGTAACGATGAAGTAAAGAAAGAAAGAAAGAAAGAAAGAAAGAAAGAAAGAAAGAAAGAAAGAAAGAAAGAAAGGGTGAGAAAGAGGTAGAGAGATAGAAAAGCTAAAGAATAAAATAAGTATCGACGAAGAAAATATAGGATGAAAAAGAGAGGAAATATGAAAGAAAGAAAAGAATAAAGAAAGAAATAATGGGAAGGGGGTGTGAGAGAGACAAACTAGGGGACAAAAAGAGAACCAACAAAAAAAGATAGAAAGAAAGAAAGAAAGAATGGATTGAGACTGGGATATAACCTAATGGAGAAAAAGAACAGATGAAAGAAAAGAAGCGAGGTAAGAAATAAATAAATAAATAAATAAATAAATAAATAGACTAAGATGTAGGTGGATAAAATACTTAAGGAATAAAAACTGACTAAGAAAATAGAGAGAAAGAGAGGAAATAGAAAGAAAGAAAGAAAGAAAGAAAGTAAAGAGTAGGAAGGAGTGAGCAAGAGAAACAAAATATGGCATGAAAAAGAGAACGAACGCAGAAAAGCAATTGAAAGGGAGAGAGAGAGAGAAAGATTTTGAAGGGAGAGAGACAGAGACATAGAGCCAGTGAGAAAGGAGGGGGGTAACAAGGGGAAAGACACCTGCTCTTGGAATGTGAAGTAATACTTTTGATGTCGTGTTCATTCAGGATGTAGACGATAACTTCTCTCCACAACTTCTTCTCTTTAATATCTGTGAATTGCTCTGATTACTTTTGAACTAGTTTATCGTTACTGTCTGCATGATTTTGAATTCAGGGCAGGCCTTCTCTGTGATTCACGAAGTGGGCGGTACCGCCATTCCCGTCCTGGTGAGGGTGGAAGGGCTTAGGCTGCCCCGAGGAAAATGTTACATAGGAAGAAGGTTTGAAAAAGTAATGTTAAGTAGGCGGTAAGTTGTCGCTAGAATAAAATCTTTTTTTTTTTTACCAAAAATCTACATTTAAGTCGCACTTAAGGAAAAACAAATACTGTACTCGTTTCCATCTGGCCCCACATTTAAAGACCCCAAAAAACTAACCTACAAATTGAAAGGTTCTTTTTTATGTGCTGTTTCCCGACAGGGCGTTGGCGATCGTGGCTCTCCATAAATAAAATGTTAAATTTCTAATAAACAGAAAAATAAATAAATATAAGTTTTTTTTGTTTTTTTTTTAAGAATTTGAGTTGTTATCATTTGATTACAAATTATAATTGCTTTGTTTTTGTTAATAAATCTCTATCTATAAAAGGCAGGATGTGTGTGTGTGTGTGTGTAACGAATGCACGGCCACAATTTTCGGCGGATTTGCACCAAAATTTACATGTTCATGCTCCAATTTAGCGGGAAGCCCAAGATCGACTTTGCATTTCCCAACTCCCATCGACAGTGGAAATAATCTATTTTTTCATGCTTCTACGGCAATTTTCATGTAGTTTGCGGCCATTTTGTACTGGCTAGAGTGAGAGCCACTAGCTGGCTGCCACGAATAGGCAGGAAGATTCTATTGGCCAGCGTGAAAGCCAAAAAATTTAAATCTGTATGGCACTTTACTGCAATTGGCTCATTCGCTTGCTTAAACTCAACGTTGATTCTGATTTCGCAAGAACTGGTTTGGGTGTGAAAAAGTATTTGTTGTTAACATTCGGTTTTTCCAGTTGCGAGTCCTTTTTTAAAGCTGATCGTTTTGTGTTGATTTTGTTTAGTTCTTTTTTTGTAACAGATTTAATGTTTAGTATAGAGCTTAGAAAAACTTCGCAGTGTGAGATAGGCAAGAAGTAAGGCATGTAGCAACATCAGCACGGCAAAGGGCACTCCTTTAAAGGCAAGGAAGGGCAAAAATATTTTAAGTCAAGTGATAGCGATTGCTGTATGAGTCATACAATTTTTGAATCAAGCACGGGCCACGCCGGGCCATGCTGCTAGTAAATCATAAAAAAAGTATATGATTTTTTTTTCACTCTTTTTTGATCATCATAATTTAAATTTGCCGCAGAAGTTTAATTATAGATTTTATTTGTGCCATGAGCAGGGTCCGTTTCAGCATGATGTGGTCATAAGCCCGGTGTGCCACATTGGTGGGCCGTAAGAGGATCGTAGGTTTGTCGCGAAAATCTACAAAGGTCTTTAATTTAATTATTTTCAAAAGAACTCCAAGGCACAATATGTTTCTATATCAAAAGGAAAAACCTTTTAAATTAATTATCCGTATATATCATTGTTATAATAAACGTATACATATTACACTATTCACATTATTCGGACTATTGTCCTCATCTTTGTCGCCATATTCATTACAACGTTTCGGCCGTTGTAAGGCCCGGCCTTCTTCAAGAGGTTGGAATGCTTCTCTCCACAACTTCCTATCCTTTGTAGTTATTAATAAATTTTTATCTTTTTGTTATTTCTCCTGTCCTGATATTTTTTTACTCAATCTCACTAAGTATGTGTTATGGTCAGATTCTTTGTACCACGGTGATAGTCCAAGGTAGAACCAATAAAGAACTCGAACACAGGTATGGAATAACACAGATATATTACAAACAGGAATATATACAGAGAAGTAGAAGTGTTAGCATGAACAATCAGGTTTAGTAGAGAGAACAATGTAGTCTCGACCAGTATCACTATTCCAATGTCTTGCAGTAATTGTCTGAACGCGACTCTGTTTCGGACTGCCTCTGACTCGACTTTTGACTCGACTTGAACTACTAACTACTTGCTTACTCCTGAGGCGCAGTATTTATTAAGTCCATTATTATTATTATGGGTAAGGTCCCATAACAGTATGTTATCCGTTGTTTCCTATGTTCTAACTTGCCTTAACTCTGTCCTGTGAGTATTAAAGTTTCCTAGCCGTCTTTCCTCATTATGTTCCCAATAAATTTACAAGGAAGCGTGCAGAGTTTCAACCTGGACCGTCAGGGAAGCAACCAGGAAGTTTCATTTTTTGTAATTATTTTTTGTTTTTATATCTACCGTTAAATATTATATATCAATTATTTGCGAATTTTTGACTCAGGAGCAGAAGGGATAACATTGTTCAGGAACTCGGGGCTTAAAGGGTTAAGAAAGAACGAATACTGAATGCTTTTCCATGTTGCCCCAGACTTTTGTCTTACGGAGCCAAAAACTAACCTACAAATTGAAAGGTTCTTTTTTTACGCGCCGTGTCTCGTCAGGACATTTGCGATCGTGGCTCTCCACAACTTCCTCTCCTTTGTAGCTTTTAATAAATTTTGATCTTTTTGTTATTTCCCCTGTTCCCTCATTCATTTACTCAATCTCGCTAAGTTTGTTATTCGTTGTTTTCCTCTGTTCTTTTCTTCACTCTGTCCTGTGAGTATCAAAATTTCCTAGCCGTTTCTCCTCATTATTTCTCTAGAAATTTTTTATGAAGCGTGCAGAGTCTCAACCTGGAGCGTCAGGGAAGCAATCAGGAAGTTATATTTTGTTGCAACTATTTTGATATTTACCGTTAAATATTACTGTTGCACCGGCCTCTAACACAAGGGAATTACACCGGTTCTCACTATATATAGTGCCAGTAATACCTACCCAGGGTAAGCAGTGACAGTACTACAACTGCCTAGCTGAGTAGTACCCGTTTCCTACCTTTGTATCTGTGATGTTAAATACACTTGTTCTTTAAACCAACTTCGACTTGATTTTCTTATTTTTACTATTGTGCCACGACACAACAATTACATACCAATTATTTGCGAATTTTTGACTCAGGTGCTCAGGCAGAGAAGGGTTAAAATTGTTCAGGAATGCGGGGCACAAAAGGGTTAAGAAAAAACGAATACTGAACACATTTCTATCTGGCCCCACACTTTTGACTTACAAAGCTTAAAACTAACCTACAAATTGAAAGGTTATTTGCCGTGTCTCGCCAGGACATTTGAGATCGTGGCTCTCCACAACTTCCTATCCTTTGTAGCTTTTAAAAATTTTTTCCTGTTCCGTCATTCATTGACTCGGTCTCACTAAGTATGTTATTTGTTGTTTTCCTCTGTTCTATGAGTATCAAATTTTCCAAACCGTCTTTCCTCATATTGTGTCCTAGAAAATTCCACTGTCTCCTGCTGATGTTAAATATAAGTTTCTTTTTTTGTTTCAATTTTCTCTAAAACTTCGTTGTCGCTCACATGTTCGGCTCACGGTATCCTCAGCATCCTTCTGTATAACCACATTTCTCTTGCTTCAAGTCTCTTCTTAATCTTTTGAGGAGATTAACCAGCCCTCTCTGCCCGACAGTCTGACTAAATTCTAAGCAACTCCACTACTGACATCATTTTGGCATAAGAACACGAAAATAAAAAAATGAAAAACAACAACAGAAAAGAAACAATTGATTGATTTGTTTATTTTTACGGCTTATCAACAATTTGTGAAAAAAAAACAACAAAAAAACAACAACAAAAAACAACAACAACAAAACAAAACAAAACCAAGAACAAAAAAAAGAAAAAAGAAAAATAATCCAGCACCCCTGCGTCCTGGGTAAGACGATAAACTACACCCGCGTCCAGGGTAAGACGATAAACAACATCCGCGTCCTGGGTAAGACAATAAAATACATCTGCGTCCTCGGTAAGACGATAAACTACATCCACGTTCAGGGCAAGACGATAAACTACGTCCAGCAGCAAAGCCTCTGATCAGGAGGTTTTGAAGAGCGTAGAACCGCATCTTAATTGCTAGTGTTCCCAAGTCCACTCTGACTCGTGGTGGAAGCACCTGTTAGGGTCCCAGCTATGGGCAAATAATTGACCCCAATACTGAAAAAATTGATTTAATACCAGCAATACGTTTTTGTATAAAATTATTACCAGCAATACATTTTTGAAGAAAAAAATGTTACCAGCAATATATTTTTGGAAAAAATATTACCGGCAATAAAAATCTTCAAGGACACATGGTACAGTGGATAAAGGCGTTGGTTAGATCCAGTGACAAGACCAATGAGTGTGAGTTCAATACCTGGTTAAGGCTGTAGAGAACTTGGAGAGGGATTTAACAGGAGATAACTGACAACAGACATTCATTAGACATGGTACGTGGAAGTAGAACAGTCTACCCCAGTCCGTGAAATAAAGGGTTCAGTTCGGCATTCCAATCAACTGAAGAAGGGCGAAACGTACAACGGCCGAAACGTTGTAATAAATATGACGACAAAGATGAGGACAATAATGTAAATAGTATATTTGTCGTCATTAAATAAACTTTGAGGAAGATATACCGTAAGACAAATCAAACCAAAACCATAGCGAGTGAGAGGCTCGGGAACACCCAATCTCCACTACCCATCTGACTTTGGCCATGGAAACCCGAGACTATTTCACAATAGTCGCCAACTCACCATTGAAGTCAAATTCAGATATTGGAATGAAACATTATAAATCAGTTACAGTCCCTTACGGAATTTTGTTGTTTTAAATGTTGAAATATGTGTATTAATTATTTTTTTATAATTAATTTTATTTTGAATTTTATATTTTTTCATTTTTTTTTGTTGTCTTTGTAGCTGATATTTTCATCTTTCCTTCTTTCTGCCGTCTATATTGTTCTGTTCTTT